AAGCAGAACCAGCTTGTGAAATCCGTGTTGGTTTGCCTCTCAGTGCACATTCTCAAACTTTCACTGTTTGCCTTGTCAGCCGTGATGACGAACAGTATTGTTTTGTGTGTCTTCAAACTTTATACAGATAGTTTGATATATATCACCATGTACTTTTTTTGTTTAATATTATGCTTCTGAGATTTCTCCATGTTTATGTGTGTCTCTAGAGTATTTAAGTGTCATGTACTAGTCCATTCTCAGTCAAATGATAGAATTCATATATCTAATTTTCTCTTGCTGGATCTGTAGGCTGTTGACATTTTTCCCTGTAATCAGCAGTTTTTGCTGGTCTCCCAGTGCATATCAAATGCTTCCTTAGGATTTGCCTCTAGAGTTGGAATTAATCTATTATGTATGGTGTGAGGTAGGGATTTATTTCTCCAAATGAACAACCAGTCATCCTGCACTCTTGAAAAGCTCTCTTTGTTTCTCACTGTCATAGATCAAGTTTCCAAGAATCGGAAAGTGTATCTATGGGCTCTTTGTTCCTTTCCATCGGTCTGTTTGTCCTCATGCCAAAATTGACATGGTTTTGGTTACTGTAGTTTTTGGGGTATTTTAAAGGATTAGGAATGTGTGTTTTATGGAGACAGATGTATCAGGAGGAAACAAGTATGTACTTCTTGATTCAGAGAACTGAGGTCATGGGGCATGAGGATTTGACCTTAAAGGAAGGGGAGGGCTTAGAGGTCATGAAATAAAATGATTATCAAGAAATTCAGGGGGAATGAAATAGACAGACTCCTTGAATATTAGAACCAGAGGGGTCCTTTTGAAGACACTAGATGCTGTGTCTTCTAGTGTGAGTAGTTTGGCTTAGTGTTTAGTACGTGGAGTGAGAGAGACCCAGGTTTGATCTTCAGTAAGATACTCAAGCCCTCTGGATCTGAATTTCTCCGTCTATAAAATGGGGTCAATAATGGTTTTCCTTCTGGATTGTGGAGAGCACTGAGTGCATTGTAGGAGTTTAGCAGTGTTCCCATGCAGGCTGGACAGCAGGTGACTGGTAGTCACTTGTTACTCTGTTTCCTTGACTCTCAAACCAGCTTCCCTTCCCCACCTCCATTTCACCATGCTGAAATTAGAACAGTGATTTATTTTTTTTCTCTCTCAGATCACTGCTTAGAATGCAGGAAACAGTATTTTGTGGGCAAGAAAAGGGAGCCAGCATCTTTGAGGTCACCTGGCAGGCTGAGTTGGTCATCCTTGGAGTCACCTTTATTGTTAGTCCTAAAGGGAAGAAGGAAGGAGAAAAACACCATCTTCACTTGGGATGGCAAAGGTAGGGGTGCTTTAAATGCCATGAGACAATGTAGGCATACATTTCTTCCTGTGCAAATAACTAGCTTCCAGAAAGGAGAAGTTGAGGACTATAGACCTGCAAATTCCCTCTGAGCAGCAAATGACACCCACCACGTAGGATGTGGCAAAGACTGTGATAGGCTCTGGAAACATTTCGTTTCTGCTCCTGGCTCTGCCACTGACTAGCTGTGCACACGTGCCCAAGTCTGGTAACCCCTCCAAGGCTCTGCTTCCTTCTCTCAGTGGGGCTCATCCTAAGTGCCCCCACTGATGTGTTCTGAGACCCAGGTGACTTAATACCTGTACAGGCTTGGCCCCTGGATAAGCACCCAGTGAGTGGGTGAAAGCTGTTAGTTATTGTTCCCCAGAGGCACACCTCTCCCCTCCTACCTCCTTGCTATAGCTTTACTTATGGGAACTCTCTTATCCATTTGTCCCTCACTGTTGATCCTGCCCACTCTTCAGATTCTATCTCTGATGTCATCACTTTGCTCAAACCGTGTTTTTTACTGTCCCTCTTCTCCATTCCAGGTGAGTGTTGCCCATCTCTTAGAGGGATTTTTCAGATTCTGCTTTTTATTAGTATTTTTCTTGTACTGTTTAACACACCCCAGAAAATTGCTAACCCTTTCAGGGCAGGAGTATGTCTTTTGTAAACCCTCTAGTTGTAGCACAGAGCAGCACAGCAAAGAAGATGAAGTCATATTCAAGCTTTTGCTGAATACCTACTATGCATCAAACAGTACAGTGGTGAGCAGAACAGTCTGTGCCTTCACAGAGCCCACGTTTCACGGCCCCACCCATGCCCCAAGATGACCCGGCCAAAGCAGAGACATGCCTGTGTGCTTCAGGTTGGTTTAGGTTTCACGTTGCTCATCTGCTGGTATTTGACCTTGAACAGTGGCCTTCTGGATGGTGCTGTGCTGTGTGAGAACGGAGCTTGGGGAGGCCAGTGTGCTGGCACTGAGACAGGCATGGCGAAGGACGCTGGCTGTCTGTCCTGCCTGAGGCCTGTGTCGTACCGTGTGGCCGGGAGGAGCTCTAGAGTACAAGAGTGGGGGTTGAGGAAGGGATGGCGCCAGGCTCAGGTCTCTGCTGCTGGTAAAGGAGGCTGTGCCCAGGGTCTGAAGCCCCTCTTAATAAAGCTGCTGTGTTTGGAACAGCAAGTGCCTCCTGCTGGGCATAAGCTGAGCTTGCCCTGCAGAGCTCAGGGTCAGTATTAATTGGGCCCTGGAGCCAAGTAATGATCACTTGGGCCTTGGGCCTCAAGTCAGAGCCTGTTACTTTCTTCCTTGGGGAAGGTGGAGGACACTGGGAAAACCAGCTAGGGTGTGAAATGCTCCATTTTATGCTGCTGTCAAGGGAGTGCTGGCTCAGGAGCCTGGCAATGGGTGTCACAAGTCTGGCTCTTTCAGAAAGTTAGAAGTGTTGGTTAGGTCAGCAAGACCCTTCTGTGAGTTGCGTCTTCTGAACTGGCAGGTGGGCAGGACGACAGTTTGGGGTTGGCGCCACTGCCCTCTGACGTGATGTTCCCAGGGCACTGCCCTGACCTGGGCCATGGTGTGTTCATTAAGTGTCCCCTGGTCCTGTGTGATAGGCTGGTGAATGCCGGGTGGAAGGCCCCACCGTCCTGAGAAGAAGGGAGTGCCGATTGGGCATTCCCGGGCCGGCCAGTGTCGGCAGCCTGGTTGGGTGCGGGGTGGTGAGCTCCCTGGCGCACAGCACCCTGTCCGTCCTGCCAGCTCTGGGGCCTAGCAGTGCACGGCCTTTAGCACATAGCTGTTGCTCAGCAAATGTTTGGAATGAATGATTGAGTTTCAGAATGATTTTCTTGGCCATTCTGTTATTCATTGTGTGTATTAGTTTCCTGTGACTGCTTTACCAAATTACTGCAAACACATTAACTTAAAACAATGAAAGTTTATTCTCCCAGAGTTCTGGAGGCTAGAAGTTGGGAATTCGGCAGGCCGTGCTTCCTCTGGGGGCCTGACTGGTCCTCATCTCCTCCAGCCTTCGGTGGCTCCAGGTGGGCCTGGCTTGTGGCTGTATCACGAGGGTCTCCACTCCCACATTCACATGACTCCTGTTCTTTGTGTCTCCTGTGTGTGGCTCTTACAAGGACACTTGTCACTGGACTCAGGGACACTTGAGACAGTCCAGGATGCTTTCCTTATCTCATGATTTTTAACTTAATTGCATCTGCAAAGACTCTTTTTCCCCCAGATATTGGGTAACACTGGTTCTGGAGATTAGGGTATGGACTTACCTGGGGATGGGGGCACCATTCAGCCCCCATAAGGGGGTCCCAGGCGGTCTTAATATTTTTCTAATAATTTCTCTTTTAGTTATTTTAAGATTATTAGCCACTGGGTTTGTGTTGTGCCTACTTTGTTGTTCGATTGATATATATATATATATATATTCATTCTAGATTTCACTTTTCCCCCATGATTTCAGGTTCAGAAAGTCTTTCCCTACTAAGTATCTGATAAGTAGTCATTCGTGTTAAAATAAAACCTTGAAATTAACTTTTAAATGCAGTGGTAACTTGTTTTGATGTCTGCTGTGAGGTGAGGGTCTGCACTTTGGAAAAAATAGCTAATCTTTACATGTGGAAAAATTTAATAGACCTAGACACATACACACAAGCACAAAGAGAGGGGCACACCTGCCAAGCCCAGGGTGGCGGGTGGAGTGTGGGTCTGGCTGAGGTCAGGCCCCGGTGCCGGTCCGGGAGCCTGGGCCTGGGCGTCAGGGCCTTACTGTGCGGTTTTTGTCATTTCTTGGGAGTCTTTCATTGTTTAAAACATTTTTAAAAAATTGTGAATCAGATTTACCATACCAATTATTAAATCATTTATTCCATTATTTGTGAAACATCTTTTATTAAGTTGTGATACGTGCTAGGGTGTGTTAGAATTGTGGTGAAATTTACGTAACTTGGGAAAAACGGACACCATTTGATACATGGTCTTTCCATCTGGAACCCTTGCGTGCTCCACTTACTCAGACTCTGCTTTACCTTTCCAGTAAAATGTGTGTAGTTTCTTCATAGATACTTCTTGTTTGTTATTGTAGATGAATCCTTGTTTTCATTTATATCCTTTAACCAGTTTGTTCTGATTATATGTCACCAAATAGAATCACCATACCCTTTCAAATACATGAAATTCTTTTAACTTGGGAAAATGCTTTTCATTGTGCAGTTAGAGACAATGTGTAACAGGCTCCTCTGTTCATTTCATTAAACCTGCTCTCAGGAAGTGTGTGGTCAGTTTCATATGGATTTAAGTAGCTGTGCTCTTTATCCAGGTGTGTGGGGCATTCTTTATGAAGAAATAATATGAAGTTACTTTCCATAAATTTAATGCTAGCTAACTATGTTTTGTCTGATTCTATTTCTTTAACAATTATAAGAGGTGCTGGTTCTCAAGGGTCCCGTGGTACGTTCCCCTGGCCCAAGCAGGCTGGGTGGGCAAACGTCACTGTCCAGGCCAGAGGGTGGTCGGAGCTGGACGTGGACTTCCTTCCCTGTTTTCTTCCTTGGCTGTGAGGCCTGGGTGGGCACTGAGGAGGTTGAGAAGGCCTCTAGCTGGGGGAGCCCCTAACTTGAAAACACTCAGAAATGAGAGATGTACCATTAACTCTCCTCCTAGGTCAGTCTTATGAAATTCGGCTGTTGGAGAATCGGAAGCTGGGAGACTTTCAAGATCTGAACACAAAGTACGTCAAGGTAAGTGTATGGGGCATCCCCTCTGCCTGGGGTTGGTTGGGGATGTGTTGTGGGGGTCCGGCGTGGCCTGGGGGCTCAGGAAAGGCTCCGGAGGAAGAGTAGACTACCGTTCCCAGCAGCATGCTTTCTGAGGGAACAAGGACAGGTTGCAGTGCTGGGAGCCAGGGCCCTGGGCAGAGGGACCAGGCTCTGTGCTTTAGCCTGCCTTTGCCACTTACTGAGCTTTTCTGAGCTTCTGTTTGCTCATCTGCACAGAAGGATTTATAAATCAGCCATGTATGTAAAGCACTTAGTAATCATGGACAAAAGGACAGTCATCAATATTCTTGTTGTTAGTGTGATTGGGGTTCTGTGGAGCAGCACACGGGCTACGGAGCTGGGATGGCGGTTCCAGGAAGAGTGGCCTTGAAGGGCAGGGGGTGTGCCCTGGCTCAGAAGGTACAGGTGGGTTCCTCTTGAGTCCCTCTTGGCAGCCACACCCAGCTGTCTCCTGCCTGCCTTCCCTCCCAGAGCATCATCCGTGTGGTTTTCCACGACCGTCGGCTGCAGTATACAGAGCACCAGCAGCTGGAGGGCTGGCGGTGGAGCCGGCCTGGAGACCGGATCCTGGACATCGGTGAGTCTCTCTGCCAAGATGAGCCCAAGATGCTCCCACACGTTGGGGTTCTTCCTGAACACCACCTGGACTGTGCAAGGCATCTTAGTGCACTCCTGCCTTGTGGGCAGCCCTGTGGGAGCTGGCAGGGGTGAACGTGCTACCAGGCCTGCTCTCAGAGTGTCCCCCTTTGGTGGGAAAGAAGGGCAGCTGGAAATCAAAGACCTGCTGTCAAGGAGTCCAGGGAAGGCTTCACAGAAGGATTATGCATTAAAGGATTTTGATAAGTGATGAAGTAAGGATGGGCATCACAGGTGGGCAGTGGAAATGGCATCGTGGGGGCTCACGCAGTGGCCACAGTCCTTTATTTACAGCTGAGACCAAAAAGGTTTCAGAATTCAGAAGTTAGAATGATGGCAGGGTGTGGTGCACGGACCCATAGCATCGGGACAGGCCTTCCACGGGCACAGCAGTTTTCGTGCAGCAAAATAAAATGGCGTAAAGACTAAGTAGCTTCATGGCAATTCAAGTCAGGCTTTCTGCCAGAGGAGTTTTATGAAACTCAATGTCTGAACATTTGTCATTTCCAACGTGGTTAGAGAATTGGGCCCAGGAGGGGTGCCTCCTTCAGCACTGGGAGTGACTGACAGTTGCACTCTGTGTGTGTGTGTGTGCAGATATTCCACTGTCTGTTGGTATCTTGGACCCCAGGGCCAGCCCAACCCAGCTGAACGCAGTCGAGTTTTTGTGGGACCCTTCGAAGAGAGCCTCTGCGTTCATTCAGGTACGCAGGCCGGAGGTCACCCTCCGTGGGAAGCCAGAGGTGGGGTCTGTTGTGCAGTTCCTCAGGATCAGCCTGCGTGGACCTGCGGGGTTCCTGCTCTCTGTTGTGAGGAGGGAGGCTGAGGAGGGAAGAAGTGTGGCGTGTCACATAATCAGAGCTAGTTGGTCTTGGGGTTGGGAAAGCACTAGAATGTTTTGGAATCCTGTGTGGGGTCCACTTATAAATATGTAGGCTTTTTGTAAGATCAAGTATTTCCTAGCATACATAATTTGAAGTTAAAATTTTTTCCATAATAGTTTCTGTTATTAAATTAATTATTTAATGGTCAAGTCCCTGGTGTGGGTCCAGCCTTGGGGTAGATGTGGCAGAAGATGGAGCTGGCTGAGGGCGTGGCCACAGGCCGTGCTCCAGAGCTCACCCTGCCTCTCTCCCTCTCCTGTGGCCCCTTTGTGAGCATCTTGTCAGTCAGATACCAAATATGCAGCCTTTACCTCAGTGCCCATTCATAATAATCACTCAGTAGAAGGTACTGATCTTTTTTTCATAAATACAGTATCTTTGTTGTATTTTAAAACTATCATTACCATATAATTGTATTATAGTAATATGTATTGTATTAACACAGTATTATAATAATAAGTGTACATCAAGTGCCTTCTGTGCAGCCAGAACTTAGAGAAACATGAAATGGCTCCAGCCTCATCCTCTGGCCTGGCCCAAGGGCCCTGGATGCCAGGCTGTGTGGCATGGAGCTGTGGCCCCCTTCCGTCTTTAGCATATGCAAGGGAGGTCTCTGGGCAAGGAGTGAGGGTAGGGCCCTTGGGGTCAGTGGGCCTGGAGCAGTAGCAAGGACTTAGCTGGTCAGGCAGGGCCTCTGAAGTCAAAGGACAAAGGTGGGAGGGTGTGTCATTTGTGGACAGGTGAGGGGGAGACCATCTGCTCGACAGTGGGCAGCACTGGGGAGAGCAGGGTGGTTGGCAGGCAGGATGGAAGCCTCCCTGCGAAGAGGAGCCCGTCTTGCCCTCTCCTCACTGCCAGCCCCACGTTTCCCCTTACAGGTGCACTGTATCAGCACAGAGTTCACGCCAAGGAAGCATGGAGGCGAGAAGGGAGTGCCTTTTCGAGTGCAGATTGATACATTTAAGCAGAACGAGAATGGGGAGTACACCGAGCACCTGCACTCTGCCAGCTGCCAGATCAAGGTGTTCAAGGTAGGGTGGCCACACCATGCCCGCCGGCAGTCTGTGTGCTTGGGTGTGCCTGCGCTCCCCTACCTGCAAGTGACATATAAACGTTCCCACAGTTCCACGTGGAGGCCTGGCAGGGAGCTGGGCATCCCTGCAGCTGGGCTCTGCCTGTGCTCCTGCATGTGCTGGCATGCTGGGCCCACAGCTGTGGCACCCTCCTCAGCTTTCACCGTCACACATGTCAGTGCACATCTCTACTGTGTAAGAATGATTGGAGTTGCACATTTTAAAATTTTGTTTTCCTACCAAGAAAACACTTGGGCTTTCCTCACAAGGAAAGACAGGGACTGTGCCATTTATTTCTCTAGCACCTTCTGTGGAACCTGGTGCACAGTGAGCACTTACTTGGCAGTGATGTGAAGAACACGCCAATCCCAGCAGCTGTAGGAGAAACAGAGCCAGAGCAGATGGGTCTGCACGTAGGAGACTGCCCAGCCGGGCTGCCGGCTCATCCGCACTCGTGGATCTGGTGCCACGGCCATGGGCACAGGATTCCAGGTCTGGCTGGGCTTCCAGTGATGCCACCTGCATGGGAGGGCAAGGTGCGGCAGAAGTGCGGGTTTGTCTTTCCTGCCAGAGAGGCAGCCCCCTTCAGAAACCTGCTTGAGGCTTTGAAAGCTTTGAAGTCGACCTCTACAGGAAGCTAAGCTTCCTCCTCTGTCTTCAGTTGCTGCTGCAACAAATTACCACGTGTTTAGTGGCTCAAAACTATGTACATTTATTGTCTTTCAGTGATGGAGCTCAGAAGTCTGATATGGATCTCCCTGGGCTAATGTCAAGGTGTTAGCAGGCTGCATTACTCCTGGAGGCTCTGGGGGAGAAGCCTTCCTGGCCTTTCCGGCTCCTCAGCCTCTGCATTCCTTGGCCCTAGGCCCCTCCCCCATCTCCAGAGCCATCAAGAGGGGGCTCACACTGTGTCACTCTGACTTCCTGTTCTCCCTCTCTCCCACATTTAATGTCCCTGTGATTACATTGGGCACCCCTTGGGATGATCTCAGATCATCTTCCTATTGTAATCTCACACTGTTAGCAATCTCAATTCCATGCAAGTGTACCCCTTCTGACACACTTACAGGTCCTGGGGATGAGGACGAGTTCTCAGCCGACCATGGTGCAGTGGGCATTGTAGCCTCAGGTCTTACTGCCTGCTCCACGGGCTCATGTTCTGGTTCACCATGGGCATCTGCACTAGAGCACTGCCAGTGGTCTTTCCCTGGGCTCCAGTCACACCTCTGTCCCTTTGTATACACACGACATCCACCCTCAGATGGCGGTTAACGTCCTCGCCCAGGGGCGTCCAGTGTAATCCATGGCTCTGGCAGTGTGTGCTCTGCAGCTGAGACTATGCTGGGCAGTAAGAGAGAGGAATGGGGTGGCGCCTCTCTGCCCATGGAGCACCCAGTCCTTCCCATGGTCCCTACTCACTCCCCTTTCTGCACCTCAAGGCAGAGAAGCTCAGCTGTGAGGGCCCTGCCCACCAGGCTCCTTGACCATGCATCAGGTATGATTTCAGAAACTGGGCCAGGAGCTGCCATGTCTGAGTGACTCAAGAACAGTCTTGACCTCTCCTGTAGGGGAGTATCACCAAAAACTGGCTCCTCAGAATGCCTGAGGAGGCACAGCACCTATCCACCTGTGCCCATTCACAGAAGCAGTTCAGACAGGTGTTTACAAGTGCCAGGAGGGGTCCAACCAAACCTTCCACCACTCACCCACTCCTAGTCACCTCAGTTCCTGTGAAGCCCCCAGCTTCTTGGAATCATGCCCTGAGGCTCTGTGTGGGGTAACAAGGCATCTGAAAGGGAAGACAGGGTCCCTTTCTGACCGGCCAGCTCCCTGTGGGTGTCACTGGGGCTGAGTGCCATTCCCCCCAACACAGGCTCAGCCTGCAGTAATGCCACCTTGCTTTGTGTCTTCTGGACGTCTTCTCGGGAACTGGTACATGGAGATGGAGCGGGTGATAGGTGCTCAGCGGCCACATTCCTGGCTCTCCCACTGAACACTGGATCTGCCATTTATGTCCCCGTGTGACCCTCCTGCAAACCCACCTCTCTTCAGCATGGGCAATACTCTGAGCATTGTTCCCTAAAATCCCTTGGGCTGGGAGCCAAAAGCTGTACCTGAGGAAGGTGCACACAGGATGAAAATCCTCAAAGGTGCCATTCAGCCTGGGAATGATTCTTGTTTACTGACTGCCCACCGTGCGTGGTACGCTGTGCACATAGTAACTGCCCTGCCCTGGGCTGCCAGGGGTCTTGGTGGCTGACCTCACCAAGCCCACTGTGAATACCTAGGAGGTGAGAGTCCCGAAGGTCCTTGTCAGCCAGCCTGCTGGGGCCAGCCCGGTGGTGGCGCATACCTGGGCTCTTCGCATCAGGACTTTCAACCTGGTCAGCACTTGCTTCCTCTCCAGTCTTAATGGAACACTTGAGCCTCAGTGTTCTCACCTGTAAATGGGGGGAATAACAGTACCTGTGAGGCGTGGACACCGGTGAGTTCCTCAGGCTTACTGGCACCCAGGACAGGCTCTCTTAGGGCAGAGGCCTCACCTTGCATGTGGAGTGTGAACCTCGAGTGGCAGGAGCCCTAGGGCTGAGCATGGAGGCCTTCGTGACGTTTCTGGGAACTCCCAGCCTGAACAGGCAGGCCAGACCCTGACCAGCAGCCCCTAACTATTTCTTTTCCCTTCATTCTCCATAGGTGACCCTAGGAGTGCGTTTGGATTTGTCGTGACTCCTAAGGGTTCCCTTCTATGAGCAAGTGGCCATTGGTAAAGATCTTTTCCAGGCATTTCCCCATGAGCAGCCTAGTGGCAGGACCCCTGCCTTAAAGAAGGGAAGGGCTCCAGGAAGGAGGACTGTGTATCTGATGTCTGGGAAGTGAGAGAGATGCGGTCCTGTTTGCAAGAGGCTGCCTGGGCTCTTGCAGGCTTTGGGGGCCACTGCTCAGCCCTGTATCTTTTCCTGATAGTCATCTCTGCCCATTTTTCACTAATTGGAACACTGTGCTTTGCATTTGTAGCCAAAGGGAGCAGACCGGAAACAAAAGACCGACCGGGAGAAGATGGAGAAGAGAACCGCCCAAGAGAAGGAGAAGTACCAGCCGTCCTATGAAACCACCATTCTCACTGAGGTGAGCCGGCCAGGGTGCTGTCGGATTAGATTCTTGGGAGATTGCCCGCTTGGGTGAACGCTTCCTTTGAGAGCACCCATTAAAGTGTGGTGTGCTCTTGGGTGTGGAGCTGTGTTCCTCTGATAAGGCCCAGTGGTCAGGAAGGCCTTTCAGAGATAACTGCTAGCTCTCTGCTGCCATTTGCACTTTTCAAAATTGGCATTTTTTAAAAAAAATAGGTAATAGGTCCAAAATTCAAAAGGTAGAAGAGAATGTACGTTAGAAAATATCTCTCCCAGTACTTTTCCAGCCTCACGGTCTCCCTCCCCAGGGCAGCCAGCATCTCTGGTTCCTCCCGCATCTGACCTGACTTCCTCTGCCACTGAATCCAACTGGCCCACGTTCTCACACCAACAGCGCACACAGACATACTGTCCTGTACCTTGCTTTTATTATTTAATAGCATATCTTGATATCTCTTCCCTATCTGTTCATAATGAGCTTTCTAGTTCTTTATCCAGCTACATTGCCTTTGTCATGTGGTGGACATTTGGTTGTTTCCAGCTCTTGGCTTCTCAGACAGGTGTGGGAGAAGTTCTGCACATGGGCAACAGGTCTGTGGGCTTCCATTCTCGGAGTGGGATTGCCAGTCACAGGGTGTGAGCGCTTGCTGTTTTGTTGTTTGGGTGGATATCAGAACACATTTTCTTTTAACCCTGACGCTAGTCCCAAACTGCCCCAAATCCTTCTGTTCAGAGTACTCTGAGATGCTCACTGTCTCAGACCTGCTCTCCTGTCACAGGTTGCTGCTGCCGCCACCTCTTTTCTTACTGTGCCCTGTCTCTTTTTTTAAAGTGTCCCTTGCTGCGTTCTGCCATCAGGCCAGCTCGTACGTGTTGGTGTGTGTTCACCGAATAACTTGACTTACTCAGAAGGCCCCCTGCAGATCTGTAGGGCTCAGCAGGGCCATGCTGGGGTTAGGGTGGTGTTACAGGCCAGGCCAGGCACAGAGTGTCCCAGAGGACAGTGGCCTGGTCCTGGCTGACAGGCTGTGTGTGGGCGTGCGTGTGCACCTGTAGTAAGCCATGTGCAGAAGAGTATTTGCAACAGGCAGTGTGGAATCTAATTTTGTGGCAGAGACAGATGTGTACAGGTGTTTTATCTGAGGGTAAGAGTGGCCAGAGAATCCTGTCCCCACCCCACCCCACACCCAACCCAGTGCTAGATCAGAGCTCAGACCAGGAGGTGTTTTCCCAGGTCTAGATCCTGCTTGTGCTGCTTGTGATCCCCACCTCCTGCCCATTGCCCTCCATGCTCTCCTGGTCCTTCCCAGGCCAAGCCTCACTCAGCCTGTCTACCCTGGCTCTTCCATGACTCCCTCAGTGGAAGACAGGTGTGTGTGCTCACACAAGGGCCATCCGGGCACAATCACTGTGTGGCATGGTTGGTTGAATTGCCTGCCTGGCCCATGACCTCCTGAGGCGATGGCTTCCCTTGTATTGCCCATCAACTCTGTTCCTCTGGATTTTATACCAACAGATTCCAGCCCACACTCATGCCAGAGGTAAACGTTTACCAGCCCCATGTTTGGTGGGCAACAGACAGTAGATATTTAGGAATGCTCTCTGTGGGCCCTCTCTGAAGACGTGCCATCACAGGGAAGGCAGGAAGTGAGCGCTCTGTCCCCTGGCCTCCCATCAGGCCAAGCCTGTGTCTGCTCGCTGTGGGGTACTCTCACATGCACTCGTCTTCGGAATTTGCACAGAAAGTTCTTTGAAGTTGAGGATGACATCTTCTTGTCCTGTGCCTCCCTTAGCTCATAGAGGATGCCTGCAATGTCCTGAGTGCTCACTGGACTGTGTTGCAGAGGGGCTGCTCTTGGTGGATGTGAAAGGTCATCAGCATGTTCTTTTTCAAAATAGCTCAGGTTTTAATACTGGCCTTTACTGATGATTTTTTGTTTGGATGTTGTCTGTGGTCTCCTGCTCCCTACTTCATACATTTACACCCATTTTTCTGCACCAGGAAAACCTGCTTGAGGGCAGCTTCTCCATTCTGTTTTTCTCTCTGTTTTCTTGTGGGCCCAGGAATCATGTGACTGACGATGTTTCCCTCTTTGGTGTGACTACTAGGAAGCTCACAGAGAGTGTCACACTTAGCTTGCTCTGCAGATGGCCTGTTGAGCGTTTGGTCTCTGCTGCTGTATTTGATTCTTTGGTGTGGCCCTAGTAACCCACCTGTCCTGGTTTGTGTGGCCATTGGGTAAATGCAGGCTAAGTGGGGAAGGGATAGCAGCTTTCCATGTCAGCTTTGGTGGATGCTTGCTTGGGTGATCCCTCAGCACTGGGGATCAGCACCTCAGCAGGTCCAGCTCCTTCCGAGGGCCACTGTCCTCAGGTCACTGCTGCTCTGTGCTCTCTTCCCACAGTGTTCTCCATGGCCCGACATGGCTTACCAGGTAAACAGCGCCCCATCCCCCAGCTACAACGGCTCTCCAAACAGCTTCGGCCTTGGCGAAGGGTATGTGTGACCTTCTCCATGTGGACTCTGGAATGATGATGGGTTTGGGTTCCTTTCCTGGTCTTCCTCTCTGAGTCTTCTCTCCTTTTGTAGCCTGGCATTGATTCAGGTTTTACGGCAGCTAACTGGTGTTGCATTCACAACTATTTTTATCCTTTTTATCATTTTTTGTGTTCAGACACACTTCTATAAACGTTGTCTGGTAGGGCAGCAGCTGAGAACCCACCCTAACCCCCTTCCTCCAATAAAGGCAGAAGCTGGCTTACTGGGCACTGGGTCGGTGTTGTGAGATGGCCTGTAGGCACCCCTAGGCAGAGTGACCTGCCTCCTAGGCAGTGTGGCCTGGGGAGGCAGTTGCTTGGGTAGACAGTGGCTACACGGGCCTTCTTGGGTATTTGTACAGCCCTTGTGCACACTCACCGGGTATCATGGGTCAGCTCAGGATCCTCTCTCCTGGGTTTCAGAGCTTGAAACCCAGAAGAAGCCCCCCTGCTAATCACCTAGCCCTGCGGCTGCACTGACTATCCTGACTCCAAGGTGACAAGAGTGCTGAGCTGATGGGCAGCTGCCCCGCTTGTCCCAGGCTGCACATTGCAGGACCTGCAGCATCACTGTGGCACCTCTTCATGTCCTGCTCACGGGGGCGGGGGAGGCAGCGAGAATGCTGAGCAGGTTTAACAGACGAGTGAGCGGGCTCCTTGAAGCCTGTGCTTGGCAGACAGAGAACTCAGCTAATGGGAAAGCAAGACATGCACTTGATTTACTGGGTGTCACCCTGAGAGGCAGGTGACAACAGAGGTGTACATTTAAATTCAGGCAGAGCTAGCCATAGGTCTGCACCTTCGGGGGGATAAGTTCCTTAGCCAGCCTCAGCCTCAGTTTCCCCACTGTAAAGGGTGTAAGAATTTCCTGCAGGGCCAGTGGGATGTGTGCAAAGTACCTGGCATCCTGTGGACACCTGAGGAAGTGCAGGTGTTGTACTGACGACTGGTCTAAGGGCCATCCCTGTGAGGGTCCTCTTGTTTCTCATTGTGGCAAAACAGACGTAATATAAAACTTGCCGTTGAAACATTTTAAGAGCATAGTTCAGTGACACGAAGTAGGTCAGGTTGTAGCATTGTTACAGAACAGATCCAAGGCGGGGTACGATGTACTATTACCGAACCACCCACCCCCCGCACCCTGACTAGGTTCGCTGTGCCTGCTGCTACAGATTTGTGCAAAGGAAAGGAAATGTTTATTTAAAGCTATACAGACTTAAAGTAGTGACCCAATGTCTTCATTAAAATACTAAAGTCCTTTAGGATACCCACAAAGGCACACAGTCCTTCCTTCTCCCTCTGCCCTAATCTGGGGTACTGTATCTCAGGAAAAGAAGCAGAAGTCTGTGATTCAGGCTCCTGGCACCATCAGCTGTGTCGCCACCATGATCTCCAGTTAATCCAAAGCCATGTGGCACCTTCTCATGGCCTACCAGCTCCTTTCACCCCTTTTCTTCCAGGCAAAGTCTCTCCTGCTTCCTAAGCCACGTGGCAAAGGGGAGCACCCCAAAACCATGCAGTCCTCTCGCCAAAGCTGTGGGGGTCCCCACTCTGCCAAAGCTGCATCTGGGTTTAAATCCCTGTGCCAATCTTCCTCTGCAGCCACATTTCCAATTCCTACAATAGGTTACACCTGCCAGCATTCCTGTATCCTTCCAGCTTTACTGGGCTGCCATAGTGAGTCTTGGACAGGAGTGGCCCCATGGCATGGAGCCAATCTTCTCCAATCTCTCACGCAGGTGCTATATCCAGGGGGAGTTGCCTCCCAGTTACATCTTGGGTGGAAGTCACTTCCATCCCCCTGGCTCAAAGCATGGCCACAGCTATTTAACATATCTATGAACCCAGTTAAAGGCTATAGATATGTTAAATGGCCATGCCAGAGGTTAGCTGCAAAGCCATGGCTGTACAAAATGGCTTTGCATGTTCCTGCTCCATGTGTCCCTTCTCCCAACTCACACCTGTGGGGGGAAGGGGTGAGGATATCCTATATATCTTTCTAATATTCCTGGACACCTTGAGTTCTGGACCCCATTACAAATCCCTATTTGGGGGCCCCCTTTGGGCTGCACCCTGTTACACTATCACCAATGTTCATGCGGGAGGCCATCTTAAATACATCTTTCTCTCAATTTAAACCCAGGTGCTCAGGTCTGTGCCTCCCTTGAGTCCACCCCTGATGAGGGTCAGAGGGGAAATACCATGAGAATGTTTTTCTCATAGATGACATCAAGCTGGGGGTGCTTGTTCACTGCGCAGTGATTCCCCAGTGCAGGGGGGGCCTCCTGTGCCCTCTCCTGCCACCATGGAGTGCAGTGCTCGGCAGCCCCTTTGTTTGGCTGCTGCTGCCCGGCACTGAGTCACTGTGGACACTGCCACTCCTCAGGTGGAGGCTGGGCTGGGAACTGTGAGGGGGAGGAAATTCTGACCGAAAGGAGCCCTGAGCCTGGGGTGGGGGGCTCATTGCTGGCTGGGACAGCACGGCTCATTTGTCCACACCAAAGAGCTCATTAGGGATTGGATGGTGGCTCCTGCCCGCATTCCTCTGACTCAGGGGAATTCTCACTCAAAAAAAGCCTCTGAGCTGAGGGGAGTAGGAACAGCCAGCAGGGGAGGAGACCCTCATAAGCCCCAATGGCGCTCGTTCTCATTGCTCTCATCTCCTGTTCTCCTTTTCAGGAACAGCTCACCGACCCACTCCCACCCAGTGGAGGCCCTGCCCGTGGGCAGTGACGTAAGTGTCTGTGTGGGTGCTCAGGCTGCCTATCCCGTGGAGCAGACCCTGAGCAGTCATCTCAAGGCCCCCTCTCTCTGTGTGCAGCACCTGCTCCCGTCAGCCTCCATCCAGGACGCCCAGCAGTGGCTCCACCGCAACAGGTTCTCGCAGTTCTGCCGGCTGTTCGCCAGCTTCTCAGGTGAGCATCTCCAGACCCACAGGGATCTTGCAAACACCAACAAGGCCACTTAACCTTCCAGGACTTGCTTGCCCTTGGTGCCTGTGGGGCTGTGGTTTTAGCCTGGGGACCCCGAGTAGTGTGAGTCGCTCACTCACGCTTGCTGACCTGTGCCAAGTGCTAAGAATTGGAGTCCTGTCCCTAGAACTTTCTGATCAAGTGTGGCTTTAAGGCAGGATCATCTGGGTACCTTTATCAAGATCCCTGTCACCTGCAGGGTGGGCTCTTGTCTGCCTGGGTAGGGCCCCTCAGCCAAGCAGACCAGTACATGCTCACAAGCCTCCGTGGCATTTGTCCTACCAAAATGCTGCTCATCACATGGTGTCCAGGGCCACAGCCTGGAAGATGGAGGTGAAGCCACTGGTGAGAAGGGAAGGCTGGTTCTTCCTTCTTTAAAAAGTTTTGAAGCCCTTACTTTGGGTCCATCAGGCAGAAGCCCTGTGCTCGGGGCTCTGGGGTTAAAAGGATAAACTGAGCATTGAGCCTTGCCGCCAAACAGAGTCAGTTCAGAGAGAGAGGGACCAAACAAGAAGGTGGCTCTGTGGGACATCTCTGGCAGCGGGAGGAAAGCACCCAATTCTCTTTCAGCTCAGCTTTTCTAAGAACTTCCTTTGTGTTGGGGGGAGGGACAGGATATCCATGCAGGGACCCTGTCCTCAAGGAACTTTCAGCTTTGAGTCAGCACAGACACATAAACCAGGCATTTCAATAGAGTGTGACCCATCTGTGACAGGAGGGCTCAGAGAGGCACCTGACTTACCCTGGGTGGAGGGTTGAGGGAGGGCTGGCTGTGGTCTTGAATAGGGTGGTCAGCAGAGGCCTTACTGAGATGCAATAAGCTGGAACAAGGCAGGAGAGCGGGCCAAGTGGGCACTGGAGGACCAGGGTGGAGGAATTCGCTTTCCAAGGAGTGTGAAAGAGCAAAGGCTGAAAGCGGACACCTGCCTGGTGTGGTCATGGAGCAGAGGACCCAGGTGACTGGGGCTGAGTGAACTGGGGCAGGAGGAGCACAGAGAGGACTGAGGGGCCCTGGTGGAAGGGGACAATGGAAGGGCTTTTTTAAAAAATATATTTTATTGATTATGCTATTACAGTTGTCCCATTCCCCCCTCTTCACTCCCCGCCACCCAGCTCACCCTCTCCCACCCACATTCCCCCCCTTTAGTTCATGCCCATGTGTCATAAGTTCTTTAGCTTCTACATTTCCCATACTATTCTTGCCCTCCCCCTGTCTGTTTTCTACCTACATCTATGTTACTTATTCTCTGTACCTTTTTCCCCTCTCTCCTCCTCCCACTCCCCTGTTGCCAACCCTCCATGTGATCCCCATTTCTGTGGTTCTGCTCCTGTTCTAATTGTTTGCTTAGTTTGTTTTTGTTTTAGGCGTGGTTGTTAATAATTGTGAGTTTGCTGTCATTTTACTATACATGTTTTTTATCTTCTTTTTCTTAGATCAGTCCCTTTAACATTTCATAAAATAAGGGCTTGGTGATGATGAGCTCCTTTAACTTGACCTTATCTGAGAAGCACTTTATCTGCCCTCCCATTCTAAATGAAACCTTTGCTGGATAGAGCAATCTTGGATGTAGGTCCTTGCCTTTCATGACTTGGGATACTTCTTTCCAGCCCTTTCTTGCCTGTAAAGTCTCTTTGGAGAAATCAGCTGACAGTCTGATGGGAACTCCTTTGTAGGTTATTGTCCCCTTATCTCTTGCTGCTTCTAGGATTCTCTCCTTCATTTTTATCTTGGGTAATGTAATTATGATGTGCCTTTGTGTGTTTCTCCTTGGATCCAACTTCTTTGAGACTCTCTGAGCTTCCTGGACTTCCTGGAAGTCTATTTCCTTTGCCATATTTGGGAAGTTCTCCTTTATTATTTGTTCAAATAACTTTTCCACTTGTTGTTCTTCCTCTTCCCCTTCTGGTACCCCTGTAATTCGGATGTTAGAATGTTTAAAGATGTCCTGGAGGTTCCTAAGCTTCCCCTGATTTTTTTGAATTCATATTTCTCCATTCTTTTCTGTTTGGTGGTTTCTTTCTTCTTTCTGGTCCACTCCACTGATTAGAGTCCCAGTTTCCTTCCCATCACTATTGGTTCCCTGTGCATTTTCCTTCATTTCACTTATCGTAGCCTTCATTTTTTTCATCTACTTTGTGACCAAAATCAACCAATTCTGTGAGCATCCTGATCACCAGTGCTTTGAACTGTGCATCTGATAGGCTGGCTATCTCTTGGTTGCTTAAAAGTATTGGATCTGTGGCTTTGATTTGTTCTTCCGTTTGAGCCTTTTTTTTTTTTTGGTCTGGTGGTGCCTGTTATGTAGTGAGGGACAGAGCCTTAGATGTTCACCAGGACATGGCACCCCAGTTGCTGGGTTGTGACGTTGTATGTGGGGGAGGGGTCCAAGAGGAAACAATGGAACTTGCTCCTCTCTCTTCTGGATTTCAGTCCCTTCTGCCTTTTCCCCCAAGCTAACTGGGCCTTTCTGGTGCTAATTCTCATGTGGGTGGGCTTGTGTATGTTCTAGGACCCTGTGGGTCTCTCCAACAACCTCTCCTGTGAAGCTAGGAGTCTCTCCTGACACCTCAACCCCCGCAGGTGTTTTCAGTCAGTATCCCAAGGCTCTTTTTCCCGGGGCTGGTACCCTGGGTTGCATGGTCTGTCTCACTGTCCAATTTTGCCTAGTTTAACTGCACTCAAATGTGGCCTGGACAGCCAGGCGCCTTGCTCTCAGTGCCTCGCTTCACAGTCGCTGCCTCGCTGGGTCTGCCAGCCACCTGTGCACTTGGGATGCCTTACGCACCTGGGACGCGTTGGGCATTCGGTGCCACTGCTTTTTGTGTTGCTACCCCTTTCTGCCCAGCTGCCTGACTCTGCCCCTCCTACCGGTCTGGATGAATGTGTATATTTTAACTCCTTGGTTGTCCGACTTCCATACAGTTAAATTTTTCTGTCAGATCTGGTTATCTTGTTTCTAAATTGTTGCTGACCTTATTTTGGTTGTGTGAGGAGGCACAGTGTGTCTAATTATGCCTCCGTCTTGGCCGGAAGTCCAGGACTTTGGCCTTTACTCCCAATGGAAAGGGAGCCATTGTGCCTATGGAATTGTACCTGAAATGGTGTATTAACTGTGGCAGGAGAAAAGGGATGGGATTTGTGGCTCTAGGCCACATAGCTATTGGCAGGTTTTTAGCAGAAGGCTGATATCCTGTGTGTACCTTTGGGGAGTCCCAGTGGTCACAGGCTTTAGGGGACTCCTTGGCCTTTGAGGAGAGGACTGCATTCACATCCAAGGATGTTCATAGAGAGCTATCATGTTCATGATAGCCTGACTAGGAGCCCCCCTGATGCCCATCAGCAGAGAGTGTCTATGTGAATTGTGGCATATTCATGCAATAAATAACATCTAATAATGGGCATGAAGGGCCTATAACTACATACAATAGCTGTAAGCCCTTAAAGAGCTTAGAGGGTGGGAGCCAGACATAAAAGGTTATATACCATTTAATTCCATTTACATAAATTTCAAAAAAAAACAAGCAAAACTTGTCTATTCTGTAGGAAGTCAGGACAGTGGTTCCCCAGAGGCTGAAACAAGGGGCCAGTGGGATGCTGGGAATGTTCTGCCCTGATCTGTGTTCTGGGTGCATGGGTGTGTTCAAAATGACTGCAGCCGGTGAGCTGTGTACTCTGCATGCAGGCAAGTGTACAAGTGACCGATGCCACACGCCCATAGAGGTACACATACATTATATGTCAATAATACAAAATACAGAGGGAGGGGTGAGCAGGCACAAGCTTCTGTAAACACCTGTGTGTGCTACTGTGTTTTGCGAATGCCAGTCATTTAGCTCCTGACCTCTTTGGGGCTGTGATCTGATGTTGTTTGACTCTTTGTTGCTTCTCTCTCCATGGAATGTCTGATTCCCCCTCAGGGTGAGCCTGTCCCCTGTCCCCTAACCCCTGTGCAGGGTCTGCAGGTGCTTGGTGATGGAGCCTTTTCTTTGTGTCCCACTTAATGGGCAGTCCCACTTACCTGCCTAGGTGCTGACTTGCTGAAGATGTCTCGAGATGATTTGGTCCAGATCTGCGGCCCTGCAGATGGAATCCGGCTTTTCAATGCCATCAAAGGCAGGTGAGTGTTAATTTCCAAGTGGAGGCAGGGTGTGGCATGAAGCTGACCATGGGCCCCCTGGGGCAAGTGCAGGAGGAGAGGCGGTGAGAGGGACACAGATGGGCTGCAGTATGAGAGTGAGCGGCTGTGACTGATGCAGGCTGCTGCGGCACACCCTGCCTGAAGGGCACTCCCTCTTCTTGCTCTGCCGCAAGCCTTGGCCTCTGGATCTCAGCCCTTCAGCCACAGGTTGTCAGATGCTGGCTTCAAGCTGCCTGCTCCTGGAGGGAGGCCGTGGGCTGGTGAGTCCACTCAGCCCCATGCTGTGGTTTTTCAGGAGGACTGCAGAGCAGTGCTGTGTCCTGATGGAACTCCCTACCACAATGGGAATGTTCTGTGGGGCTCACATGGTTGGGGAGCACTTGCTCTGAGGCTTCTGTGACTGATAAACTGAGTTTTAAATTTTAACTAACTAATGAATTTAAATTCTAATAAGTACACATGAACAGTACAGCTTTAGAGTTAATGAGAGCCTGGGTTTGAATCCCAGATCTGCCTTATAGGAGCTTTGGAACTGGGCAAAAGCTCTTAACCCCCACGAGCTTCATTTCCTCATCAGTAGAGTAAGTATGGAGGTCCTTGCTCCCTCGTAGGTGATGTGAGGATGAAACAAGTTATGCATGTAAAGTTCTAGAATGTTGCCTGGTGCAGAGTAAACCAGAGAAAGTATTTGCTTTTATGACCCTAACATGTACCTCATTCTTTAGATTTGTGTTCTCGGCAGATCACCCTCCGCCACACCCCTGCCTTAGCAGGTTGGTCTGGCTGGGGTTCTGCCCCCAGCCGTACCATGAAAGGCATTCAGCATCCCCACAGCCTTCTTTCTTTTTCCTTGAGTCCTTCCCCTGCTTCATCCACCTTGTGTTCCGGAACATTCTGGAACAACAGAGCTTGGTCTCCCATACCTACTGTTTATTTCCTTCCTGCCTGCCAGGAACGTGAGGCCGAAGATGACTATTTATGTCTGTCAGGAGGTGGAACAGAACCGAGCGCCCCTGCAGCAGAAGCGGGATGGTGGCGGGGACAACAGCAGCCTGTGTGGTGAGTGGTGAGGGGCTGCCCCACCAGGGTTACAGGGTGGCAAAGCAATGGAAGAAACAGCCTGCCTTCTCACTGAGAATGTTTTCCCAGATCCTCCTCACTTTGGTTTCTTGCAGGATAACTTTGTGCTAAACTTTATCCTAGGGTTGAAATGTTTAAGGTAGAAGGCATCCTGCAGGATATCTGGTCAAGCTCACTTATTTTATATCCAGGGATGCAGAGACCCAGAGAGTGGGGTGTGTCCCCCAAAGCCATTGAGCTACTCATGGTAGAATTAGGAGTTGGGCCTTCTGGCTCCCAGTCAAGTGGCCCCTGATGGGTCATCTGAGGAGCACTTCCTCATGTGATTTCCCATGGCTGGATATGTGTTTCCCACTTTGGTTTGGTTGATGCTTGGGGCCCAGAAATGGAGTTGAAGGAGTTTGGAGTCCCTCGGGTCATGGGACTTCTGTGGGTTGGCAGTTTTGAGAGAGAACACAACTTTGAGGTCAACTGTCTCTGTATACCAGTGCTGGCCATGCCACCTAGTGGCCCTGTCCTCGGGCAGGGTACCAGGGCCTCTGCGTCAGCTTCTACGTGTGTAAAGTGGAGATAGCAGTGCGTACCCCACAGATGTGTGAGGTTTCAGTGAGATGACGTATTGTTTCTGAGCTCCTTGCTGCTGCTGCTGCTGCTGCTGCTGCTTTTTTAAAAACAAAACCCCCCTTTATTTCTCTTAACTACTTTTATAATTCCATAGAAGAGTGCTAAGTCACCTGGAATCAACAAATGTTTTCATTGTCCTTCCCTCGTACTGATTTCTTATACACAATATAGAAGGAATACATTGGAGAGGCATTATTTTGTTATCTGACTTTGATGTCTTGCCTTATTTAAAAATAAGGAACGCTTCATGAATTTGCATGTCATCCTTGCGCAGGGGCCATGCTAACCATCTCTGCATCATTCCAATATGAGTGTATGTGCTGCTGGAGTGAGCACTGTGTTCCTTGTTTCTGAGCACCTATGAGCGCTGAGCGTCTGCTGAGCTACCAGTCTCAACTTGCATAGTCAGTACTCAGTATTCTCTGCAGAGAGAGCCCTGTCTGCCTCCCTGCAGGTCCCTCCATACCAGCAAGGATGCCCGACAAATCCCTGTCTTAAGGGCTTCCCATGTAGTCACTTATTTGCTTAGAGTCATAGGAACTGTTGCTAACATTGTTTCACTGTGGGGGAAATTGTGGCACAGTTGACTGGCTCCAGATGACAGCACTGAAGTTGCAGAGCCAGGATCCAAACATCGGGACCCTGGCAGCTGGCCTCTGAGCCCTCAGCTGCCTTTGCATGTTGCTGGTGAAGGTCTGGGTCCTCCCCCTGCTCTTCAGCTCAGTGAGGCTGCGAAGCACAGAGCCCTAGGGCCATGCTTTTCCACACACATGGAAAGGGCTGCTTAGTGCACGCATCTGTTCAGAGCAGGTGTGCCATGCACAGTGCATGATTTAATCTCGTGGTGGCCCTGCGATGTGGGTGCTAGCAGGGCACCCCAGGGCTCTGAGAGGTGTAAAGAGTGTCTAGGGTCTTGCTTCAGTGAGTGAAAGAGTTAGGATTAGAACCTAGAATTACCCAGTCTAAAGCCTCTTGTCCCCCCCCACCCCCATGCTGCTCCTGGTGGGAAGAGGTGCTGTGTACCATCTACTAGCTCCAGGCACTCCTGGTGGCCGTGTTCAGCTGGGGGCAGGAAAAGCCAGGGACAATAGTTTACAACAAAAGGTGCCAGCCTGTGATCCTTTCAGTTCCTTTTTGTCAGCAGTCTGATTTGTTTGAGGAGTAAAATCTGAACAAGTTGAACAGGCTTTCTAAAAAGTTGGGAAAAAGCAGTCCAATTGGAATTGTTCCTAAGGAGAATCTCAGCAGAGAAGCCTGGTGTCAGTACTGGAAGGAGCATTACTCAGGGACCACATTTTCTGGACAGAATCTAACAGTGGATCAGCATGTTAGAAATCGTGGGAAGGTGAACCTGTCACATGGCTGGAACCTGTGAGCTCTGCCACCCACTTCAAAGAGACCCACTGTGTGTGTGTGCATGCTTTTAAAGTTGGGCCTGTGATCAGATTTCTTTTTAACTGAGGGTTCCTTAGTTGAGGGAGGAGTTTGGAAGCCCCTCATTGAATCCAGCTGTGTTTTAGTTTTGAGGAACACTAGGCCCTCGAACATTGAGTAACCCACCCAGGCCCCCATGGAGTGTGCTTCTACCTGGCTGGTCTAGGGTTTGTAGAAGAAGCCTTTCTAGCCTCAGGGTCACTGTTACTTTCTGATAGGCTGATGATGCTCCTAGTGCCCCCTTCTCCCTTCGGGGTCACAGTGCTCAGCAGACTATAATGTATGCTGTGGAGAAGTGTGACCCAAACACAAGTTTGACGGCCTGCTACAACAAAAGCTAGACTCACAAGACAGGGGCTGGTGCAAAAGGAAGGAGGTTTTTCCAGGTGCTGTGACCTGCGAGAATGGTGGACCCTCTTCTCAAAGCCTGTCTGTGCCTCTGCAGTAACAGAAGGGCTCTTCTGTGGCCCAGTAGCAGTTATCTGTCACTCCCACTCTGCCACCTGAAGCCATTCCACAACCCCTTTAAACCGGGGAAAGAGGAAAGGGGGCACAGGATTTCCTTTTTCATTCTGCAGTGAACTGCATGTCGGGCCACATGTCAGAATCACTGGAAACTTGTTAGAAATACAGACTTACGCCAACCCTTCTCCCTCCAGCCACCATCCCTATTAAATGGGTGTCATTGGGTCTGGGGTGGATCCAAGAATTCTATATTTCACAGAAGTCCCCCAGAAGGACTGAAACTAGAAAAGAACCAGAGCCAGGCATCTTTTCACCTGTCGGTGGGCTTCACAGACGCCCCGTGGCTTCTGGGTGTGTGCCATTACATACCGCTCCGGGCCTGAGCGTCCTCCTGAGCATGTCACTGACTTCTTCGGGTGGGGTGGGGTGGTGGATAGGCGTGCCCCTTGAAAAGCAGGCACCTGTTCTACAGAAGGACCTGTTTCTCCCTTCTCTAGTGTACCATGCCATCTTCTTGGAAGAACTGACCACCTTGGAGTTGGTTGAGAAGATCGCCAACCTCTACAGCATCTCCCCACAGCACATTCACCGGGTCTACCGGCAGGGGCCCACGGGCATCCACGTGGTGGTCAGCAACGAGGTGAGCCTGCTGCCGGACCCGACCCGAAGAGCCGGGGCTTTGTGCTCCAGGCAAGAGCAGTGGAACCTGCACCAGAAATACACCCTGTGGGGTTTGGGGATGACTCAGCACAGAGGTGGCAAGCAGGTTTCACTCGGCATGCCCCTTGCCTACGGCTGCAGCAGGCTGCAGCGGCTGCCTGGAGTGCTGTGAAGGAGAGAGTTCGGAGGCCATGACTGGGCCCTGAATAGCTATGGAGTATCCATTCCATACATCATCCTCATCCAGGTGCCATGCAGGACCCAGGAGCACGACTGTACCCCTGCCTGCAGGGGACTTACAGTAAGGGCTGTAAGGAGTCAGGAGGAGGGCGCTCACCCAGGGTAGGTGGCTGACTGCAGTGAGGGATGAACTGGACTGGGGGTTGGGCGAAGGAGAGGGTGTGGCTCCTGGAGAGAACAGACGCCTGCTCTGCTGAATGACGAAGGTGCCACAGCCTTCCTGGGCCTGTCCCTGGCCACCTAGACATGGCAGGGCTCAAGTAGCTGCTGGCAGAGGGCACAGGTATTGAACAGGGCCCTGCTGGAACTGTGCCCTCAAGTGATCTGATTCCACTCAAGGCTAAGGAGGGGGTTTTTCAACAGGTTTGCTGTCATGTGTAGGCATTCCTGCAAGTTGTAGAACAGAGGTCTCTAAGTTTGTTCTGTCTTGGACCTTTTGTCTTAATCATAGTAAGGAGTGCCAGTATTATTGAGTGCCAACTGTGTTCCCACTACTGTTCCAAGTCCACACATAGTGACTCATTTAATTCTGATGGCCTCCCTTGAGGTAGGTGCTATGGTTATCCCATTTCACAGGTGGGAAACTGAGACACAAAGAGGCCAAGCGCCCGAGCCCCATAGCTGGTAAGGGGTGGAGCTGTGGTGGGAACCCTGGTAGTCCAGCTGCAGAGCCTAAGCTCTGAGCCAGCAGGCTCTCCGACCTCTCCTGAAATGAACCCTTTAAAAACACAGATGGGCTGATGCGAGCACAGCTGGGACCCTGAGCCCCTGTCCAGCCCCTAGCAGATCCTAAGCCAGTTGTGGGAATGCTGAAAGCCTCTGTGTAGAGGATTATAGAGGAAGTGGTACTGGCTGGGGTAGTAGAGAAAATGTGGGGCTCAGAGTTGGACTGGTGTCCCTACCTGGAACTAGTAGCTGAGCAACCTTAGGCAACTTTACTGAACCTCTTTGAGCCTTAGCTTCCATATCTGTAAAGTGGAGATATTTAATACGTATCCAGCAGGTAAGGTTAAAACAAGAAGACTGTTAGGTACCAGGAGACGGAGACGCTGAATAAACAGCAGATGTAATTGACAGTGCTAGGCACTTGTTTTGGGGAGCAAGTGATGGACGGATTCTTAAATTTGACGATGTATAAAATGTACATCTTTTAATGGTCTTTATATTTATTTCATAATTGTCATTATTAGTAATAATCCTTTGCTCCTTATTACAGTTGCTGAAGCCCCTGAAATGAGAGTCTCTGTTTCAGGAGTGTTTCAGCCTGAGGTCTGCAAGGTGCCGTTTCCTTCCTTTTTAATTAAAAAGTAATCACAGAGTAAGTGGTCAAGCAACCTCAAAGAGCAGAAGGCAAATGTGAGAGGCCCTCATTTTCCCCAGTCTCTTTTCCTGGAGGATTTTACAGTGGGTTTGTGTGGTCCTGGCAGACAATCTTGTGTGCCGGTGTCCACTGTGTGCCTGGGTGGGTGGACATGCAGGTCCTCTACTGTGCAGCAAAGATACAGCTGTGCCTTCATCTGCAACTTGCTGTTTTTGTCCCCAGTTCAGAATTCCTTCCATATTGTTATGTTCAGATATAATGCAGCTATTTTTTTTACCCCTATTTCACAGGTAAAGAAAATGAAGCCCAGAGTTCCTAACTTTAGAATAGCCTGGAAGGTTAAACTGTCCTGAGCAATGGGTTGTGGCATGGAAAACTCATCACTTTGTAATTCAGAATAAATTTCTTCTGTGAAGACAGAAGCCAAGAATGTATGGAACCCTGGCAATTTCACCAGTCTCTGAAGGAAGTTCCTTCCCCAGCTTGCCCTGTGACCCCAAGAGTAGGCAGTTAAGCAACTGAAGCAGAGAACAGAACTCAAACACCACCTCAGCTAAACAGGCCATTCCTATTCCCCAAAGTCTCCTTGCCTCTTAACCCCAAATCAATTGGAAACCTTTTGCTTCTTAATTGCCCAGAGCACTGGAGGCAGCCTGGCCAGCCCTCCCTGCTGCAGGGGGGTGCAAGGGCACTTAATTAAACAAAGGAGTTACTGATTAAGCCTGTGTGGGCAATGCCTAGGGCTTTGCATGCCCAAGTGACTGGGTGGCCCAGGGTCCTAGAGGGCACAGGCCAGCAGTATAGAATGAGTGTGCTTCACGCATCATCAGGCCCTGCAGGGTGGGGCGGGCATCTACAGGTGGGTGGATTTGCAGGATTTGGGGAAATAATCAGAGGGGGCAATAAAATGTGGTTGCATTTGTTTAATTGGAAAGCAATTTTGCTATCATATTGGCTAGTGTGTGAGTGTGATGTGAATGTTTATGTATATGTGTGTATTTTTATAATTTTTGCCATTTATATTGTGACAAACAGCATACATATGCAAAGAGTATATAAAGTGTATGTGTACAGTTTAAAGAATAATTGAGCCCTGACTGGTGTAGCTCAGTGGATTAAGCACAGGCCTGCAAATCAAAGGGTTGCTGGTTTGATTCCTAGTCAGGGCACATGCCTGGGTTGCAGGCCAGGTCCCCATTAGGGGGTGTGTGAGGGGCAACCACACATTGATGTTTCTCTCCTTTTCTTACTCCCTTTCCCTCTCTAAAAACTAGATAAATAAAACCTTAAAAAAAGAATAATTGAAGCACCCAATACTTGCTCTTCAGTTAATGTAGTATTATGTTAGAAGCCCCTTTGTGAGCTAATTTCATATTTGTCTCCACCTCTCCACCTGTTGGTCTGAATTTTGTATTTATCAATCCCTTGTTCCTCCTCAATGTATTGTTGAATTTTGTCTGTTTAAAAACATCTTATAAGTGGCATAATAGTGTATTCTGTGATTATCTTCTTTTGTTCCACATGATATTTTTAAAAAATTTTTTTTCATCCTCACCTGAGGATATGTTTCTTGATTTTAGAAGAGAGGAAGGGGGAAAGAGAGAAAGAGAGAAAGAAATATCGATCAGTTGCCTCCTGTATACACCCTGACCCAGGATCAAACTGGCAACCAAGGTATGTGCCCTGACCCACATTGAACCCACAACATTTTGGTGCACAGGATGATGCTCCAACCAGCCGAGCCAGCCGGCCAGGGCTGCACGTGATAACTTTGAGATCTGTGCATGTGAGGTGTGCTGCTGTAGGTCACTGGCACTGCTGAAGCCATGGCATAACAGTCCATGCTCTTAGTGTTGATTGACATAGGGGCCATTTTTGGTTTGCATGCAGTGTTGGACATTCTTAGGTGTGCTTTGTGTGTGCATGTGCAGTGTATCAAGGGTGTCTGCCTAGAGGACAGATGTCATGTTTCCAGGTCCCATGGACAGTTCTGTAAAGCAGTTACACAGATTCACACTCCACCAGTAGTGATACCAGCCTCCATCACTCTACCTCCTGCTTATATTTTTTCTGTCGTATAAACAGCCCCATTTTACGTGGAGATAGGAAGAAAAAGGCTGACTTTTTGGAAGTCATGAGGTAGCTAATCAAAATGGGAACTCCAGAGAAGTGGCTGATGAGTAATCCTTTGATTCTGGCCATATTTTTAGATTCAGGGAGTAGCGCTCTGTTTTTTTCAGGGTTAGGCATCAGTAGGTTTACAGTTGTTTATATGGAAAAAAAAGTTGCAGTGTGTGAGTATTACAATAGCTTTGTCAACTCTGTGTTTCATGTACTCAAAACCATACACCTACTTTTGCCCACCTCTGTACCTGGTCCTCCTAGGACTCTAATTAGCAGATCCTGCTAATTAGCAGATCCTGCTAATTACCCAGGTTTTTTAAAGCACATTAACTTTCATTGCTACTGTACACATACACTCTTCTATACTGTGTCTGATAGAGGGACCGGAAGACCCAGTAACCAGAACAAAGCAAAGCAAAAACAAACAAAAACTTAATCCCATATTTAAATTTAATAACATTTTGATTCCTTTCCAGGCTCCTTTTTGTCTCTTATGTTCAATTTTTGGTTACTTAAAATTGTAATCATATTGCACATTTATTTTATATCACATTTTCATAGCTGAAATCAAGCATCACCACTGGCCTGTGTTTGTGCAAACACAGTGACCATTGTCTCTGATGGCACAGCGGGCTGCTTAGCACCGAGGCTTTTCATGTGGTACACACTCATAGTTGAAGGGAGTGGTCTGTCTTTTGCCTTTCAGATGGTGCAGAATTTCCAAGATGAATCCTGTTTTGTCCTCAGTACCTTAAAAGGTAAAGCCACCCACTCCCTGCCCCCAGCTTTCCCTGTTTATTTAAAGAATGCTGGTTGCGCCCCCAGGGTAATGTGTAGTGAGGTGAGCGGGCCTTGCCTGCACACTGCCCCCTCTGGAGAAGGTTCCCTGGGAACATCCTCTGGGAAAGAGAAACAAACTTCCTGTGGACCCTAGTCCTGAACAGGAGAGTTAGCGAGACTGGCCCCAGAGTCACTTCTGGAAGGGACCCCCTGGCCCCCAGGCCGGACAGTGTGTTCTCCATGGATTCAGTGCCAGGTAGACATAAGATGGATTGAGTTTTTCTAAAACGTGTATCTGCAGGAAGAGTAAGCATGGAATACAGCAGCTAAGGCCGGTGGAATGGAGACCTGGGCTGGGGGATGGGGTAGGATGTGAAGGGCCCTCCTGAGGAAGGGGCCTGAGAAAGAACTTGGGGGCCAGAAAAAAGGAAAGACCAAATGTGGCTTTCCTTAAGGTCAGGGAGAGGTGAGAGGTACGAGTCTGGCATCTGTCCAAATGTCCATCTGTGTCAGGACAGCGCCTGAGGGCCACACCAGCCCAAGAAATACTGTTTGCCTAGAGCCTCCTTAGATGTAGGTCTTTTAGTCTTTGGGTCCAGAGCTGTGGTGGAAAGGCCCATTGTCAGAGAGAAACTCAACAAAACAGATGTGAGAGCATGTGCTGAAATCTCTGCTTTTGTCAGCACACTGTGCTGTGCACAGCCTTATTTTGGTGTTGTCTGTCAATATTCATGCCTTCTGTGACTCCCAGATGCTAGGGCACCATGCCTTTCTTCCTGGAAAATGCCCAGTGTTTCCCTCTTGCAGCTGAGAGCAGTGATGGCTACCACATCATCCTGAAATGTAGCATCTGAGCCGAAGTACAGCCAGCAGCTGCCTCCACCTCCCAGCCCCATGGACCCCCTTGGATGTAGAAATTGCACCACTGTAAGCTGCAGCCTCCCCTGGCAAGCTGCAGCTAGAAGTGACCTTGCCTGGTGTGTGAGAGCCACAGACCAACAACCAGCAGAAACCCACAGATGTGGAGTCCTGGGCATGCAGAAAACCAATGGCTCCTCTCTCCCTTCCCCTTCAGCTTGAATGGTTCTTTGGTCTTGTTCCCAGACCTGCCACTCTAGAGACACAAACAGTGGGGTATCTGCTCTGAAACCCTTTGCGCTCTGAGCTGGAGGCTAGTCCACTGGCTGTCTTGGTGCCTCCTGACCTCTCTTCTGCTGCCAGATAAAGTTCTGCCTCACCCCAACCTTCACCTTCTCTGGTGACTGGCCCCATGGCTGAGACTGCTGACTAGATGGGGGTGATTCGCCACCATCGTCTATCTTTGTTCATGTTGGTTTCCATCTTTGGTGGCCCTGGTGAGCATCTGTCTGTCCTGCTCTTGGATGGATTGATGGGAGTGGGGTTTATTCTGTACCTTCTTCTCCTTTCACCTTTACCGTGTTTCTAAGGATCTGCTACTACAAAGCCCAGAGCTGGGCTCATCTCTCTGCATCGGTGGGATACCACAATATGCGTGTAGGACCTGCTGCACAGACCTGAAGGCTGCTTTTAGGCACATTCTCATGAGTGTACAAAGGATGAGAACAAAATGATTCCTTGTGAGCTCCTTTGGTGTAGTTTTATTTCCTAGCCATCATGGGTAAGGACGAGGAAATGGTCATCCCAGTGTATGATGAGGTGACCTTGATTGTCACAATGCCTGGCCTTCTTGGGTGGGCTCACCAAACCCCATTAAAGAAGACCTTAGCTACCTATGGCCAAGCCTGCCAAGTTTCCTAGGGGCATTGCATTTTCTGTGAGGGCCCTATTTAAATGTTGATCTTTCTTCACTTGCAGGGGATGTGGGTAGAGCATTTTGCCTATACTGGTGTGACTGGATCACCTTTCGTAGTGGCCTATGAGGAAATTTGAGTATCAGTAACTGGTAGGCTGGCAGCTGTTTCCTAGGACCCAGCAATCCATGCTGGCTCAGGGCTTCAATTCTTTGCTAATTTAGGTTCATATTCCAAAGCGTGGTGAATCTATGACCGCTGAGCAGGATTGTACAGCTTCTAAAGTAGAGCTTTTGGGGAGTACTGTGCTAGGGTCGGGGATGATCAGAACTGGGTAGACGTTGTTTCACAGATACAGAAACAAGCCCAGAGGGGCATAGCCACCAGCCTGATAACACATGGTGATAGGGTATGGACATAAATTTATTATACAAACCAGGCCACTTTTGAGGGTGAATGGGATCTATAATAATTAGGTTGGGACAGTGGGTGTGGTATTTCTACCGAGTTCCTGATTCCTGATCCCTTTGCCCTTTTTGAAAGGCAAGGAGGAGCTGGTAACGGCTTTATTGAGATGTAATTCACTTACCACATAGTTTACCCATTTATCCATTTATGGTGTACAATTCAGTGATTTTTAGGAAATTCACAGAATGACCATAATCAATTTCAGAGCATTTTCAGCAGCCCCCAAAAGAACCCTGCACCCTTTAACAGTCGCTCTCCAACTTCCCTCCATCTGCCCTAGTCCTAGACAACCACGGATCTACTTTTTATATGGCTCTACCTATTTTGGACAGTTCATATGTATAGAATCATACAACATATGGTCTTTTGTGACCAGCTTCCTTGACCTAACACAGTTTCCTGTGGCTGTCCCTGTTGAATGTGTGCCGGCATGCCAGTCCTTCTTATTCTGTGGATAGGCCATGTCTTGTTTGTCCATCTGTCACTTGATGGGCATTGAGCTGTTTCTATTTTTTGGCTATTATGAATAATGCTGCTACAAGCATATTTGTACAACTTTTTATGTACACGTATGTTTTCATTTCTCTTGGAAATGTACACAGGAGTGGAATTGCTGGGTCATATAGTCACCCTATTTAACTGGAGTAACTGCCAGGCTGTTTCCCAAAGCAGCTGCACCATTTTCCACTCCCATTTCAGCGGTGTACAAGAGTTCCAGTTTCTCCACACCCTCATCAACATGGGCTGTTAGCTGTCTGTTTGATTACAGCATCGTAGTGGGTATGAAGTGGTTTCTCATGGTGGTTTGGATTTGCATTTCCCTCATGGCTAATGATGTTGAGCACTTTTTTCATGTGCTTATGATACAGGTCCTATATCAGATACATGATTTGTAAAACTGTTCTCCCATCTTGTAGGTTGTCTTCACTTTCAAAGCTTTCAATTTGATAAAATCCAAGACTACCTATTTTTCTTTAGTCGCTCATACTTTTGGTGTCAAATTGAAGAAATCATTGCCTGATCTAAGGTCAAGAAGATTTATGCCTATGTTTTCTTTTAAGGCATTTTATTGTTTAGTTCTTACAATGGCCTTTGATTCATTTTGAGTTATTTTTTGGACAGGCATACCTAGTTTTATTGTGCTTCATGGATGTTACACTTTTTACAAATTGAAGGCAAGACTCTCCACCAGCAAAAAGATTATGACTCACTTTATTGTGATAGTAGCTTTTTAGCAGGGGTCTGGAACCACACCCACAGTATCTTTGAGGTGTGCCTACATGTGGTATGGTGTTGGGGTCTCACTTTATTCTTTTGCTCGTGTCTGTCCAGTTGTCCCAGCACCAGTTGTTGAAATGATTACTGGAATCCCCATGGAATTAATCGTCTGGGAACCTTTGCTAAAGGCCCCTGATTTTTGCTGAAAAAAAAAATTTTTTTTTTGGACATGGGACTGTTGTTGGCAAGCTCGCCTTTTCTTTTTTGGAGCAGGCTTTCTGTTCTCTTTGTGCTGTCTCCCCCTTTACCTATCTCAGCAGTACTGGGTCATATCAGTTTCTGGTGTTCTGCAATCTTTCTTGCTGTGTGTTCTAGTCTCACATACCATTCCTTGGGGAAGGTCAATGCCAATCATTTTCTTTTTGAGGAAAGTGAGTCACACAGAAGTGAAATAACTTGCCAAAGTTTACATAGAACCAGGACTCGACCTGTGGTCTTCTGACATCCAGCCTTTCAAGTTGTCTTTAGTCACCTGTACCTGAGTGGTGTTACTACCCAGGCCAAGTGATGGCAGGCTCAATTTTAATTCTAAAAATATGGTAAGCTAATATTTTTATTTCTTAATTCCAAAAGAGGACCTAATAAAGATCTGTGATCTTAAGTTTGCTGTTAGTAGATTCTTTCATTCTCTGAAAAGCCCACTGCTTTCTCCTCTCCTTTCCTTCTCTTAATGGTCGTAGTTAAATCTTGTAGCTTACAAAGAAGTAGAAAGTAATAAATGCCAAGAAAGAATACACACCGTAATTTGTTAACAAAATGTTTTGACCCTTCCACACAAGTCATATGAGCTAAAGCTGTAGGTTTCATTGCTCTCCTTGTATAAGTACAGAAAAGCTGTAACCCTTTCTACTCCTATGCACTGTCTGTCCTGTGAGCCGAGTCCAGCGTCTGGACCCACTAGTCAGGGCAGCCCTCCCTGCCAGGGCTGCACCCTCTACCCCACATGTTCTAGGTTGTGGCTTCACTTTGGAAGGAACTGTTTGGAAAGGTGGTCTCCAGAGGGAAAAGAAGATAAGCATATGCTCAGGCTGCCATCTTTAACCAGGATCCCAAAGCTGTGTTTATTCTTCTCAGGCCATCGTGGTCCTCTGCTGGGGAAGTGTCTGTTTGCAAGGTGGTGGTAACCTTTTCCTGTTTACTAGGTTGCACCTTAAAATAAAAACATAGAGGCTTTTGAATTAGGGAACAGTAGGATTTGCTGGGGGATGGGGCTTTGTGTCTTTGGAAAAAGGAGGCTAGAGTAGGGACTTTGAAGTCTTGGCTTGAGGTCCTAAGCAAAGGTCAGGCATTGCCCTGGGGACCTCCTGCCAGGCAGCCTCAGGCCACCTTAGACAGAGCTGGGGGGTGGGGTGAGGGGGGCTGGCATCTAGTGCTTTCCTGGGAGCAGACTGAAACTGGTTGAGCAGTGTGTCACAAGTTTCCAAGTCCAGGGTGGCTTCAGGGGCCGGCCTGAGTAACTGAAGGTTGGAAAATGATTAACAAGTTGGTGAAAAACACGGAAAAGCCTCTTTCTGTGTTGTCATTGGAGCGGAGGAAGGAAGCCCTAAGGCTCTTGGAAAAGCTGGAAACGCAGAGGCTGAGAGGGGTGGGATGGAGAGAGTAGGAATCACAGGGGACCAAGTCAGGGGCCCCAAGCCCCAAGACCCTCATTTCCATGAGTCTCTTTGCCTCTATGGGTCTCTGGGACCGCCCTTGAAAAAAGAGCTGAGAGACCTGTGGAGTTGTGGCTGCCTCAGGCACGTGGTGGAACTAGGGGCGGTGGGTCTTTCCTATATTCTCTCCATCAGAGTCATACCATGAGCAGGTGCCAAGTGTGTGCAGGATCCTGGTTGTGCACAGAGCTGCTACTGCTCTCGCTCAGCTCAGGGTGCCGCGTGTACTCCAAGGTTGCAGGCGCCTTGATGTGAGGCATAGTGTCTCAGACATCCCTGCAAGAATCAAGTCCGGCTCGCAAGCGGGCTGACTGCTCCTTCAGCACTTTAGAGTGGCCACCAGGTGTTCCCCTGCAGCTTGAGCCTGGACACGGAGTCAGCCTGCTCTGCAGCTATGTTCTGGAGGTATATGTATGTTACAGAACAAACAAGGGGGGCCTGGGACAATATACTATTACTGAAAGAAGCCCCCAGGTCTGTTATGTCCGCCGCCAGAGGAAAGACATCTCTCTATGCCAGAGATTCGTGAAAAGGAAAGGAAATGTTTATTTAATGCTATACACACTAAAAGTAGTGACCTAATGTCTTCATCAAAAATCCTAAAGTCCCTTAAAACACCCACAAACAGACACAGTCCTTCCTTCCTTCCCCCCTTTGCCCAGTCCAGAGTACCATATCTCAGGAAAGGAAATAGAAGTCCATGGCTCAGGCAGTCCTCTGGTTATTCCCAGTTAGTACTCCATCTTGACTGGGAGACCTCCCTGGGTTCCCGGCACCCTCAGCTGGGATCTGTGTCGCCGGGATCTCTGCTAAAACCAGGTGGTGGTTCCCCCTTCTAAAGTTGCAGGGGTCCCCACTCTGGCAAAGGCACATGGTCCTCTCTCCCAGGGCCATGGGAGTCCCCACTCTGCCAAGGCCACGTGGTTCTCTCTCAATGGCTGTGATCTTCTCTGCACTTCCACAGATGCATGGTTCTCCCTCTCCTCAATGGCTGCTGCATCTGGGTTTAAATCCCCACGCCAATCTTCCTCTGCAGCCCCATTTCCGACTCCTCCTACACTTGGGCACACTTGCCCTCAATCTTCTGTCTTCTCCAGCTTTTCTGGTCGCCATCGTGGGTCTGGGCAGGTGTGACCCCATGTCATGGAGCCAGTCTTCTCTGAGCTCCCACACAGGTGCTGTAACTCAGGGGACTTGCCCCCCAGTCACTTCTTGGTGGGGTAGTTACTTCCATTCCTTGGGCTCAGAGCATGGCCACAGCTATTTAACATGTCTAAGTGACCAGCCAAAGGCTATAGATATGTTAAATGACCACACCAGAGGGTAGCTGCAAGGCTGTTGCTATGTGAAACAGCTCTCAAAGGCCCTGCTCCATGTGTCCCTTCCCCCAACCCACACCTGGGGGGTGGGGGTGAAGACATCCTAAAATCTAGGCACCTTGAGTTCTGGACCCCATTTTAAATGACCATTTGGGGTCCCCCCTCTTGGCTGCACCCTGTAACATGTACACACACACATCCTTCTCCCTGCCTCTGTGTCTGGGGGGAGTGTGGCCCTGAATGCTCTCAGCTTCGCTACATGTGATGACTGCTGTTCCCCTTAGATCTTACATGGCTCTCCTGCTTCTGGCTTTGCTGCTGAAGCTGGTTATGGTCAAGTTGCTCTACCTGGGGGGAATCCACACCCCAAGCCCAGCTCACCTGGGGAGGGAAGCAGTGCTGGCCACTGCCATCCTACAAGGCCCCTTTGAGCAAGGCCCAGGGAGTCTTCCACACAACCGCCCCATGTCCTTTTTTCTCTCCTTGGTTTTATGCTGTGGGTGTGATGTCAGTCCAGCTGGCTGATAGGAAATGATTACATATCTTTTCTGACCACCTCCCAGCCCCCTTCCCTTCACCCTATGGAAACAGGACAGGGAGGACAGGGAGGTTTTCAAGACAGCCCAGCCCGGAGATGTGGGTGTTACAGTGAAACACTCGGCGGGCCTGGGGCGGGGAGCTGCTGCTCAGGTCACCCAGCCTCCTGCCAGGGGCACACAGAGCTCCTCAAAGCCTGTACAAAGCTCTCCAGGCCTCTGCAAAGGCCTCTCATGGGTTTTCTTTTTCCACTCTGTGGGTGACAAGAAAGCCCAGGAGGAGAAAGGCAGTAGGTCTCTAGTGGTGGCTTTCTTGCCAATGGCTCAGAAGTGAAATTGCCATCCCATTCCCCTCTTGCCATGTAGAGACTAAAGGCAATGTCCCCAGGAAGTCAGCTCTGACTGGTGGATTGGCTGCCCTGTGCAGGGCTGCTGATGTGAGTCTGGGGCTGACCGGCCCTGCCATTCAGACAGGCAGACCAGTCCCCCTCCAGAGGGACATTGCCTCAGCCTCCCTCACACCCTTCAGCCTAGGAACCCTGGGGGCTGGGCTGCAGTGAGCCACTGGGGCACAGGGGAACCTTTTATCCTAGCAAAGTTCAAATCTTAATCCACGAGAAAACAATATAATTAACCCCAGCACCCAGCATCGATCAGCAAATGCCCACTTATCGGGAGCTGGCCAGCTGCAGCCTGAACCAGCTCCCTGCCCCGTCTGTGACGGCTTGATCGGGAACACTGTCTTCAAACCACTTAAGTGAGATGTTATCTGGCACCCCTTCAGAAAAATCTGTTCTTCTCATTAGCAGACCTGTGTTACAAAAAAGTACTCTGTTATCCTATTTTGAATTTCACAAAAAAATATGGAAATCCACTCTCTCACGCCTACATAATATCGATTTGCTACTTGGCTCTTAAAGCTGAAAACATTAACTGTCTAATTCTTTATACACAAAGTTTGCCAGCCACTGAGCTAGACCTCCATTCCTCTACCCCCAATGGGTTATTTTAAGGAAAATCCAGAAAGTAGAACTTTTTAAAAATAAAAACTATTTTGTTTTGAGCTTTGAAGCAAGACAAGCCTTTAGCCAAGCAGCCTTTGGGTCTCCCCTGCTTTGTGGTCTCACTTCCCCTGCGGCCGGGAGCCCTCCCACCCTTGTGGGGTCCACTCTAGCGTCTCAGTGGAAACGTCCAAGCCCCTTCTGCCTGCTGGCCCATCCTTGCAGACCTCACAGGTCTTTAGGTCCCTGGGTCAAGTGCTAGGGGCTGTGGGAGAGGTCTGTGTGTGGGAGGGGTTCTCTGTGCCAGTACTGACAGGCCGCCCCTCCGTGCTGGGTGGTGGCCTCTGGACTGAAGTCTCTGGGATGTTCCTGTTCCAGAGGGTGCAGCCTACGCTGTACTTGCATCTGGTACCTTGAGAACCCTGCACCTTTTGGTTTCTCTGGATTCCTGCAAATGCCTCCTAATGTCTTCCTCCTCAGAGAGAACCAACCACTTGTGGCGGACTCAGCTTGGTGATTGGGAGGGGCTGCTTTCTGGCCCTCGATAAGGGTTTCACAGGCCCAGGTTTCAGGTTCTGCCCAAATGCCAGCCTCACTGAGGGTGACTCCATGTGCTGCTCCCGCTCTCAGCTGGGGCAAGCCACCTTCCTGTGGCTTGGCCAGCCTTGTTGGGCCCCTTGTTCCGCCTCCTCACTGGACACTGCCTCCAGTGCTTATTAGTACCAACACCAAGGGCAGCAACTTGGTGCTGACTGGCCTCTCGTGGGTCAGGTGTTGTGCTCAGTGCTTTTGCCATTGTTTCATTTGATCCTCCCCACAGTGCAGAGAGGCCTCTGTAACTCAGCTTCCCAGGGAGGAAATCAAAACTGACAAATCAGATGTGATCCCATGGCCCTACAACTACTGGTGGACTGAGCCAAGATGAGAGGCCAGGTGCCTGGATTGAGATCCCACATCAGGGCACATGCTATCCCCAAGTACACAGAAGAGCTCCTGTGTAACACTGGCTTTTATGCAGACTTCGTTTATCACTGGGCTCAGAGCACCCAGTGGGGAAACGGTGGGGCTTGTTAAAGACAAAGGTGGAGAAGAG